GAGGGGCTGGGCTGGAAGGCAGCCTTAGGCGGACGCCAAGAGGCTCGGGACTCTCTTCCCAAGCCTTTCGTGGCCCCAGCCTTTAGGGAAAGTGCAATCGAGAGGAAATGCTGTTTTTCCGGTAACGCAGCACGGGAGCGAATCGTGCGATGGGCGTGACGAGCAGCTTTTGCAAAACACTCGCTTAAGCTCCCACTGACGCCTCTCGGCACGCGAGGCAACGCTGCTTCAATGGGATAATGCTCGCTGACCTCCACGGGAGGTATAATTTGCTCTTTACCTTTGTCAGTTAATTAAACTTCAGATTTCTCTCCTGCTCCAGTTGTATTTCTTATACCCTCCAGCAGGTGTTTTTCTTTTCTTTTAATCTCTCTTCTTTTTATATATTTTTTTTTATTTTATTTTCCATTCTGTTTGGTCTCTACTTTCCCCTCTGGGCTCTGTCCACCTCTTCCACCTACCAACAGATGGAAGCAGCAAGCTGAAAAGACAAATTCCCAGTTTTCATGTGGAGGTTTTCGTAGGGGACTGCCTGCCCCGCTTCTACCTCCCTCCCAGCCTGGCACCAGTGGGGTTTCCTTATGTGTCAGAGTGTGTGATGAGACATAAATCTGCAGGGAAGGAGCTGGGCACCTCTCACCCAATGTCCTACAAGTGCTTTAGCTGATCTCCAACCCTTCCAAAAAGCTTTCCCCCTCCCCAAAGGCTCTGTCCCCGTCCTGGCAGTGCTGGGAAGGGGCTGTCGGGGCAGCGTGTCCCCTCTCATCGCCTCATCCCTTCTCCCTGCAGGCTGCTCCCGGCAGATCGGCTTCTCCTTTGCCAAGCCCAAGCTCTGTGCCTTCTCTGGCCTCTCCTACTGTGACAGCTGCCACCGGGACGACGAGACGGTGATTCCCTCGCGCCTCATCCACAACTGGGATCTGACGAAACGAGGGGTGAGTCCGGGCTCGGTCGGTGCAGGGCAAAGAGAAAGGCTCCTGCGCTTCCTGAAGGTCCATCAGAACGTTTCCACCGGCAGCAGAGGTGGAGATGTCCACCCTCCCTCTCCCTCCGAGACTCCCTCCTCGGTGCATGCCCACCTCTCACCTCTCTCTGCCCCAGGTTTGCCGGCAGGCTTTGAAGTTCCTCACCCAGATCCGTAACCAGCCGCTCATCGACCTGAAGCTGGTCAACGAGAGCCTCTACGACCACGTGGAGAGGATGAGACGGATCCACCGGAGCCGGGAGCAGCTGAAGCTGCTGGGAGATTATCTCATCATGTGCCGCAGTGGGGCCCTGAAGGAGCTGAGCAAGCGGTGAGGTCCCTCTCAGGGTGACGTTACCACTTTTTGTGCCCTGAAGGGCTCCTGGTTCTCCTCCCGATTCGGCCTCGGAGCGGGGAGCGATGCTGCCGAGGCTGGCACCAGATTTTAGCTCCACATCATCTGCTGTGAGGAGTTACCCATCTGTTGGCTGGGTCTGACACGTTGAGATGTGACTCAGGAAACACCTTCCTGAACTGAGCAGCTTCTGGCTGGGCAGGAAACACCTGGGAAAATAGATGAGGGATTTATTTTTCTTTTCTCCCCTTTGAAATGCTCTCACACACGATTCCCAGCGGCAGGATTTGGGATGTGTGGCACAATGCGGGGATTTTCTTCAAGAGGCTGCATCATCCGGGCTCCCCCTTGCTCCAAAGCTGTTGGAGATGTGGTGGAAACCATCGACCACGTTCCTCTCTGTGCTTCTTTGCAGGCTTGACCACAGGCATTACCTCTTGGAGTGTCCCCACAAGTACAGCGTGGCCGATCTGAGGCAGGTGAGAGCTTTGCATGGTCTTATGGGTGGTGAAAACATCCCGATTTCTGCCTGTGGAGACACGGCATCGAGCGTGGTGCTTCTTCAGCAGCAGGGTTTCAAACACCTTCGTTTTCCTTTTGCTGTCGTGTGCACGCAGTGAGCTTGCACATCAGCTTGAAGGCAAAGCATTGCCTTTGTTTTAATTCGCCCAAATAATTGGCACCAGCCTGGATCCTCCAGGAGCTACGGAGATAAGTCATTTCACCTCTGTTTGAGCCAGCGTTGCCTCTCAGCGCAGCGCTGCAAATATTGGGAATGGTGTTGGAAGGTGACGGGGTGGGTGGGTTTTGTGTTGATTCCAAAGCTGGGAGGGTCCCATCCCGGCAGGTTGTGGGTGCAACGTGGGATTTTGCACGGTGCAAACCTGGTGGGAGACGGGCTCCGCGCCTGCCTGACACGCCTCCGCCCCGCAGATAGCTGACGGCGTCTTCGAGACCTTCCTGCAGTCTCTGCTCCAGTTCGCTTCCCACCATGTCTACAACTGCGACCTCTGCACCCAGCGCGGCTTCATCTGCCAGATCTGCAACAGCAGCGACATCATTTTCCCCTTCGAGTTTGACACTACCGCCAGGTGAGCCCCGGCTCCGGCGCGTCCCACGGCTGCGAGGCCACCCCGGCGTTCGGCCTGGCTTTGCCCATGAGCCCAGCCCAGCCCCTGGATCCCTCTCGGGAGCTTGTAGCCCTGGGGTCGCCTGGAAATAGCACTGAGCTTGTCACTAAGATGCCTCTGAGATGTCACCAAGCCAGATGGGTTTGAGGTTTTTCTTCTGCCCACGGCGCTCGCAGCCTTGGTGGAGGAGGATCAGCTGCTGCGCGGGGTTCGAGCAGGCGTTGAAATCCCTCCATCCGGGTCTTCTGAAGAAATCAGGATCGAACCCTTCGGTCCATCGTAGGTGGAGAGAGCTCCACACCTTGATGTCAACTCAGTAACGAGGATAATCCTGGCAAAGCTCTTCAGCAGGTCCGTGTGGTCTCACTGTGCCCTAAAAGCGAGCAGCAACACCCCGAAGCTGCAGAAAACGCTGATGAGCTCGGGATCCCGGGGTAGCCTGGGCGTTCTGGGGTTGCAAATATTTCCAGCGCAGCTCAGCAGAACTGCTCGTGCCTCAGGGACAGTGTCACACTTGTTAGCGAGGACGACCTCCCCTGAGGACTGATATTTCCCTAGAAAAAGAGAATACAGGCTCTGGAA